CCCCAAAACCCCAAAACCCCGTCATACAATACATCTAACTAAAATAAAGGTTAGAATTATTATATTAAAATCAAAACCATAGCTTAAAAATGAGATTATCCTTCAGTGTCAAAAGATAATTGAAAAACTATTTGCGATAGTCTCTAGATGTGGCCTTACCGCTTAAATATGATTTATCGAAAAAGAGTTCTGGCTAAGGTCTTGATGAACTTTACGAGAAATATCTGCACGTAGGACAGTGTTTAAATGTACCATAGAAGAAAAGTGATTACTTTAGCATGACTCCTGAATTGGTATTTCAATCTAAAAGTAAGAACAAAGAAAGTTCAAAAGGGTATTATGGACTACCAACAGCTACAGAAGTGGGCTAAGATATAGTAGTCTAAATTCCTAGTAATGAAATCATCAGAGCTATTGATGTTGAGAAATATTTCTTTTCAGATGATGCAGCAGCTGATGTTTAAGTAGAAAATGGAACACATCTAAATTTTATCCTAAAGCAATAATTTATTGAAGATTGTAAGAAACTAATCGTTAAGCTTTAACCTTTTTTATAGTTGTGAATTAAAACGCTTGTAGATTATTCAGAGTAACTGATAGTTTGACCCTATCATAGGAAGAAAATAAAGCACAATCTGCTTAATATGAAGGTGAAATCAATTACAGTGCTAATGTATCTGATGGATAAGAGTAGAGATTTTATGTAGTTGATTATTTCATGAATTAGTTCTAATCACTCTCAGGCTAAAAGATAACCTATAATTATGAAGAACTAGGGAGTCTAGATTCAAAGTAAATTGATTATAGATTTATGACAATAATTTCTAGTACATTATGGTTAAGATCTACATTACTTTCTAGAATTAAGATTGATAAGAAATACAGATTTAATGGAATACTGGATCATAAAGGTTATGCATTGATACAAGAGAATGAAGATACTTATGTAGATGAGGTTTTTGATACTCCTTCAAAGAAAATATATAGTTTGATTTCAAAGCCACACTAGATCCATAAAATGCTAATGCCAGAGCAATATGATCTATATGATGAGCTCATCAAAGATATATCAAAATATAGTATATTTCATCAGGGTAAATTCGAAACACCTTAAATTGAATTCTAATACAAAATGTAAAACACCACAGATAAATCAGTTGGAATGCTTTTGATTTACTTAAGAGACTATGTTGAGGATTATTGTGATACTCTAGATATCCATTATATTAGTGAAATAACTAAAATTATCATGCTTTTGCTAGATCTTTATTCAGACCCAAAACTTAATTCAGAGACATAAAAAGCCATTAAAGAAAGCTTAAAACTGTTTTTATGCTTATTCAAATGATGAGATTTACGCTATTATTAATGATTACTAACCTGCTTGTAAATTTGGAAATATAATTAGAAATTTAAAGTTAAATAACTTCAAATTGAATGTGTAGGGGGTTTTGGGGTTTTGGGGTTTTGGGG